GCCTGGAGCAGCAGAGAGTATTACACAGCAGAATGAGTTGCACTGTCAGAGATATAGGAGATCCAAAGACTGATATAATCCCTTCCTTTCTTCTTATGCCATTGAAGAATGCTTCTCAGCTTTATCCATTTCTTCCATCTTGTTCTCTGAGTGTTCGATCACCTTCTCATAAGATGCAACTTCTACCACATAGAAGACCTAATCTTTCTTCAGTGAGCCAGACACATCCTTCCCGCATCTAAAATATTATTTTGTGGCCTCAGGAAGCCTTACAATACCCCTGAGAAATTTCCATAAGAATGCTTTGCTAGTTCTGAGTTGTCCACGGGTCTTCATAAAGCTGGTGAGCTTGGAGGGTTTAGCCAGTTCGGCCAACTTCTCACTTCCTGGGCAAAGCAATCCACACCCACCCAATACAATAAAATAAATCCAGGACTAGCAATGTGCCTGTCAAGCATTATATCTGCTGGATATCCTGAACTCTGCTCCTGCAATTTACACAGAGGATGGAGCTTCTTTCCTGCATTAGACAAACCCGACCAGCTGGAAACGGGCATGTGTGCTAAGATTCCAACTGCAAACATTGTGACATTATAGCCATGAGCCCATGTCATGTTTTCTGATGTAATGCACAGTCAGGGCAAGTTGATTTTTGCTTTTGTGCATGATCAGCATTTAGCCGCCACGTATATGAAGAAATCTCTATTATAATTATCTCACTGCCTCTGTCATTTGGTTCTCCTTAGAGGAGGTTTTAGCTTTAGGCCAGAATAGAGAGCACTGAGCAGTTGCCACGTTGTCAGAACGAAGAGGGGGTGGTGTCTTTCTTTCTTCTCTTTTTTCTTTAGTAAATTTTTTTCCAGATGTTTTTTATCTCAACAGGACAAGTATGAACAGCTGCATGATTTCAACGCTCGCTCATTGAGAGGCATGACCAATCCAGTGCAGAGAAGATTCAACTCTGCAGGGACAAAGATAATGAAGTGCAGGCTCAGAAAAAATGACTTCTAGAGCCAGCATGAAATCTCCTCATGGTATCTCACTCCCAGCTCCCCTTGTGAGTTGTCCACATTAATGGCTGAGGCAAAAGACATTCAACATTCTGAGGGGGTGGTTGGCCATGCTAGGCTGGCCCCCCTGGATCGTAGTAAATATCTGGACGATCCCCTCCTCACAAACCCTAAAATGTCGGTCTGGTTTGCCCTGCCAGTGGTGCTGGTTGATGCTAACATCTGCATGTCAGCACAAAGGGCTGGATTCTCAAAGGTACTTAGGTGTCTAAAGATGCAGAGATGTGGCCTAGTGCAGATTTCAATGGGAATTAGACACCTCAAAGCTTTGAAAATTCCATTAGGCCCTTCTCTGCATCTTTAGGCACCTAAATACCTTTCAAAATCTGGCCCTACATTCCTAATATCCACCTCTTCAAGGGGAGCCCCTAGATGAATCTCATCCCTCTCCGATTGCCCCACTGTTTCAAATGAAGTCCTTGGAGGCCAGGGCTCCCATCCTCAGTGATGGGTTCCAATATTAAACCTTCCGCCACACTGGAGTTCTTGCCTTTCTGATTTTGAGATGTTACTGAAGCTTTGTTGTGACACCATTCCCTGCCCTCCCCCAGCACGGTTAATGCTTATTCACCCATCTGCGCCTTTCATTTGTTGCAAAGTGCTGCGAGAAAGGATATCTGAGCCAGGCTAATGAAAGATCACAGACTCCTGGGCACCAAAGATAGAAAAGGACTACTAGAGTCCATTGAGTCACGGTGTCCATTCCATCCAAATTTGGTCTATAGTCCCCTATTAGGTACTAAATTGATACTACGATTGACCAGGAAGCTACATACCATTGTGTTGTATTGTCCAAATTAGGTTCCTGGTACCCACTGTCTATTGTAAGCCTCTTAGTACCCATTGACCTGATGGGCTACCTCTACCAAGTCCAACCCTAGCCACCAGAGCGGATGATATGAGCCATACTGATTCTCAAAGGTCCCTTGAAGAGTAATTGTATCTTTCTCTGGCTGTGTGTCTTTATCCATAAGTGAGGGAGGGCCATTCAGAGTCATGGCATGGAGGCTTGGTGTTACAAACATATGGAGCTTCACATTCCAGTTGGTATTATTGAGGGGTGTTAAATGAGCTGTACTATGTTGAAATGGGGTTCACTCACTGCTGTGGCTCTCCCAAAGAAATATCCTTGTGGCTGGGGATCAGCTCTCATCCGGGCTAGCGTCCCTTTCTGTTGCTCGCTTGCCCTGCAGCCCCTCTCATCTCCAGGCTTCAGGGTGCTCTCGCTTCATGACCCAGCCCTCCCACCAGGACACTACAGAGTTTTCTCCTTCTGGGGCATTGACATCTTGCTGTTCCCTCTGTCTAGTTGCTGCCTTCTCCAATCCTGTGCCACTTCCCCAGTGGCTAGTAGGGGAACCTAGACCTGCTTGCAACTCTGGGTTCCAGCCTGGGGACCCTATAATCATCAGCCAAGGCCCGCACAGCCTGAACCTGCACGGCAGTTTCCCTGGCTTCTTCCTACTCTGCCTTCCACAGGCTTTCTTCCCACAGCTCATCTGGATAAACCCTCCCTGCAGGGCTAGGATCCCAGGGCTTTTGCTCCTTCTGGATTTCCTTCTACCAACCTCTCTGTGCCCAGACAGTGACTGCAGCCTCTCCCCCCCAGCGGCCTCTTTCTGCTGCAGACTTCCTCACTTCATAATCTCTCCCAGCTGGGCTTCATCAGCCATTAATATTTATAAATCCCCGGGGCCCCCAGTCAGGTGCAACCGTAAAGGTTAATTGGCCCCTTCTGAGCCCCAGGGCTCGTGTAAAGTAAACGCACCATCACATAGGACACACCATCAAGGGGAATGGATCTCTGTTCTATTCATTCCCTTTGGGGCACCTGGCATAGGCCACTGTCAGAAAACAGGATACTGGGATAGATTAGCGTGACCAGATAGCAAGTGTAAAAAATCAGTACGGGGGTGGGGAGTAATAGGAGCCTATATAAGAAAAATCTCCCAAAATCGTGACTGTCCCTATAAAATTGGGACATCTGGTCACCCTAGGCTAGATGGACCTTTGATCTGACCCAGTACGGCCAGTCTTATGTTCTTATGTACATATGTCCAGCCTGGACTTCTGGTCTAAAGCTGTCAGGAAGGCCCTTATAAGGTTATACTACTGTTAGGGACCAGTCCAATTCCACTCAGCTCCATTACCCTAACATCAGTGCAGACAGTGCCCCTTGACCCTTACTTTCTCCCTATGTTGCGACATAACTGACCAATAAGGCTGTGTTGTCCTGGGCTGCCATAAGCAGTGCTGGATCAAAGCATGGGGAAAGAGGAGTTGAACTAAGGAGTCTGCCCACACGAAGGGAAGCGCCAGTGGTCTGACACTGGGAGGGAGAAGCCACTCTTTATACTGGACACGAAGGCACCTCCTTTTGTCAGTTTACCCTTGCCTGTGAGTTACTGCTGTTGCTGAGTTATAATCTGAAGGGTCAAAATATGGAATGGAGCCTGGAGATGCCATAAAATTTAATTGCCCTGTAATTTACAGGATACAAACCTGTGTGGTTTGTCCAGTAAACATGGGCTCATCTGATCCAATGGGAGGTGCCCAAGAAAGATGTAGATGATGTCAAACATTGACATGTTAGGGGCTGCGGTTCCATATTAAGTATTTATCTAGTGGTACAAAGTATATGAGATGGCCAGGGATTACCCTGCAGGAGCTCTGGGATTAAGGGTATCACTCCCCTACCCCATAGACCTTCGGTAGTATCGATAACAGCAGAGTTAATAAGAACGGCCATACTGTGTCAGACCAATGGTCCACCTAGCCCAGTGCCCTGTCTTCCAACAGTGGCCGGTGCCAGGTGCTTCAGGCAGTGTGAACAGAATGGGGCATTTATCATGTGATCCATCTCCTGTTTTCCAGTCCCAGCTTCTAGTAGTCAGAGATTTAGGGACACCCACAGCCTGGGGCTATGTCCCTGACTATCCTGGCTCATAGCCATTGATGGACCAATCCCCCATGAACTTGTTTCATTCTTTTTTGAACCCGGTTATACTTTTGGCCTTCACAACATCCCCAGGCAACACGATCCACAGGTTCGCTGAGTTGTGTGAAGTATGTTTGTTTTAAACCTGCTGCCTATTAATGTCATGGAGTGACCCCTGGTTCCTGTGTTATGTGAAGGGGTAAATAACACTCCCTTATTGACTTTCGCCACACCAGTCAGTTATAGACTTCTATCATAGCCCCTCTCAGTTGTCTCTTTTCCAAACGGAACTGTCCCGCTCTTTAATCTCTCCTCACATAGAAGCTGTTCCATCTCCCTAGTTGTTTTTGTTGCCCTTCTCTGTACTTTTCCCAATTCTGAGATATCATTTTTGAGATGGGGTGACCAGAACTGCACGCAGTATTCAAGGTGCGGCTGTGCCGTGGATTTATATCATAGCATTATGACATTTTCTTATTCTCTATCCCTTTCCGAGTAGTTCCCAGCATGGTTAGCTTGTCTGACTGCCACTGCACAGGAGCAGATGTTTTCAGAGAACTGCCCACAAGAACAGACAACACCGTCCGAGCACTCAGAACCCTTATGCTCTATCCCATTCGGTATCCCAAAGGATGGACTAAGCCATCAAACGGATCCAGATTGGAATGTTTTTCTAACAATATTTAATATTCGTATAGCGGTAGAATATAGGGGCTGTAAGGGGCATAAGGGCCCCATTGTCCTGTGCACTACACAAACATAGGCATAGATACAGTGCCTGTCCCAGAGAACTGGCAAACTCACTGCAGCAATGCAGGCAATAGCTCAGCTGAAAATGAGGCAATGGGCATCCCTGGGAATCCTCTAACAGCCCCATTTTCCTCTGATTGCTCTGGTCTTATCCTTTGAATTTAGGCTGTGGATTCAGAATACATTTTGGGAGGAAGCAGAGGAGAGGGGGAGTAAGGACAGCCCACCCGAGAGAAAGTGAAGCAGAGCAAGAGACAGATTTGGAAAACATAGAGGAGGAGGAGAGAGGGAGACCGAAACCCTGCCCAGTGCACTGAACGGTTTCCTCTTGCCTGGTTCGAAAACCTCCAGATTCCTTCAGACCTTCAGAGAGCCTGAAGTTTTCTCATCTCTACTGCCCTGTCTGCGAGGTATGGCACAAAACCCTTCTCCCTGTCCTTTCTCTATTTCAATTATTTCTCATCATTTCATTATTGCTAATATGATCAATTCCTGCAAAGCGTCTAATTACAGGAGTCTGAACTGTTAACTGTACAGAAAGTTCTGCCCATTATTCCTAGATAGAGGGGGCATGCTTGGTTCTGTTGATAAACCAGTGCTTTATCTATCTATCTATCTATCTATCTATCTATCTATCTATCTATCTAAAACTCACTGAATTCTTTCTCCTCCAGAGCTGAAAACCTTATTACCTTTCAGTTGCAGATTAACAGTGTTAACTGTTATGTGATCAGAAATACTGTATATGAGTTTGCAGTCTTTTCTGAGCTGGTTCAGTTTATCCTTGTTCCTTTCTTTTGTTTTTCGGTTGCTACAAATAGATATCTGTTGATTTATTTGTTTAGAGAGAGGTGAAGTACCAGCTTGCAGGCACATCACATTTACTGCACTGAGAATCAGATTTAGTTATAAATCAGCCCCGATTAATTAAGTCCTGGGGCAGCATACTGTCATTTGATACCTTGGTGTCCCATGCTTTTGAAAAAACAAAGTTTTGCAGATTTTGTTCTCCTGAACCTTTTACCACATTCACTTCTTTTTTCTTTTTCATTTCTTTTCTTTTTCCTTCAAAGAAAGATATTCTATTCATTCTTTTTCTTCCAAACAGCTTTTGAAATTATGTCAGGTTCTTCTTATCCCTCTAATTGTTTTGTTTAATTCTAGCTAAATTGTAAAGGACAGGGATTGCAGAAGAGAAAACAGAATTTATTTTTTTTTAAAGCCCAGTTGAGAGGCATTAAAAATAAGGATCAGACACTTCCGTTATTTATGTTTGTCCAGAAGAACAAACCACTTGTTTTCTTTAAAGGCAGCAGCTGCCTTAGCAGTCCAACTGCCTCCCCCACAACCCAGAAGAAAAACTTTGTTTCAGAAGCATGGACACATTATTACCGCAAAGAAAAGAAAATTCAGCTGGATGGTGGCTAAATTCCCATTCAGACTGAAGGGCAGGATCTTCCAGTGAATTTGAATTTGAGTACTTTGTCTTTATCAAGTTAAAACACCCGGAAAAAAACCCAAAACAAACCTAAAGGAACAAACTGGAAACTGCAACAGATTGTTCTCCTGGAAGGGTGGAAGAGACGGGGGGTGGGGGGAGAAATAGCTTTAAATGGAAATAAATGGCTGCAGTGTTCTGTGAAACAGTTAAAACAAAGCATTGTCTGCCACATAGGCAGAGGCAGGAGATGGGGAGGGGGGAAAGTGGGGGAAAGAGGAGGACCAACTTTTCAAACTTTTTTGCAAGCCCCACCTCCTGCAAAAACCTCTCCTCTGACATGACTCACCCCACTGGAATGCTGGCTCCCATGGAAACCCTTGCAGGGTCCTCTGCTGGAGCCAGGATGTAGAGCCTTTATCGCTCAGACAAGCTGCTGAAGGCGGGGAAGGGATGTTCAGAGGGACCTTGGGGGAACGTTCTGCTGAGCCTTTGCAACCTGTCTAGAAGCTGTAAAGTCCAAGGGTGTCTCTGTGCAGCATCCAAAAGGCTTTAATGGGCCGTCTCTTCGTCTCTCCCCTTCCTTCTTTCTAGTCTTCTCCTGGCTTTTCCTCTCAAGTGTGCGTACGCTGGTTCAGAGCAGATGTCACATTCTAACACCTAAGGAGGCAACAGGGCCTGGGTATTTTTGCAATAGGCACTGAAATATCCTTATTCTGAGGTGAATGACACCTCCACCCTAGGAATGCTGCATTTGGTATAAATGAGGACAGGAGTCCAGCCCAAGTGAATGAGAGTATTTTCTGCCTCATCACGGGGACTGTGTCCCAGGCAGAGGGCAGTAATTCACTGGGAAGGATTCAACTTTACTTTGGTTCCTTATACTGGGTAGCTTAGTCCAAGAAATGGATCAGAAAATAGATAGAGCCAAATTCTGCCCCCTGACTCAGGGTTGGGTAGTGCCCTGCTCTACAGGGAGTCCCGCTGAAATGAACGGTGGAGTAAAGTACTCCTCACGGTGAGTAGGGGGTGGAGGAACCCAGCCCACAGAAATGTAGCGCTAACTATTTGCAATTCACCACAACCCCTCTCTTCTCCCTTTGAAGTTGGCTCCACCTCTCCCAAGCTAACCCCCATCCATTTGGCCCTAGCAGTCTCAGAGCTTGACAGACGGATTGCACCTACCTCCTGAAGCAACCAAGTCAGAGAGGTGGCTCACAGAGGGCTCCATCCTGCATGATGTTGTGAGCCTCCTGAGAGCACTCGACAGTCCGACTGCCAAGGTCCATGGAAACTCCCCTCTGACCTGGGCTGCTTTCAAACCCGCTCTTCAATCGCGTTCCAAGAGAAATTAACAAGTCACTGTTCCATGTGGCTGTGACACTATTGGCTCAATTACCACTTAAGCTAAGAGCCAGGGCTAAACCGCGTGGGTGTTAATTCCGCCTGACTCATAGCCTAGGCCTGGCTTGCACCGATTTGGGATCAATTTAACTGTTCCCACAAGGGGGCGCGATTTTCGACTGAACTAGTTACGTCGGCACAACCCCGAGTGTGGACAAAGTTACATCAGGATAAAGGTGCTTGTACTCTTATACCTTACTCCTGTAAGGAAAGAGGAATGAGCTATGCCTTTGTAAGCACCCTTATCCCAGTATTCCTGCAGCCACACGCGAGGGCTTGTACCGCTTTAACTCTTCTGGTATCCCTATGGCAGTACAATTTTTTGTTTATGGACAAGCCATTTGTCAGTCTTAATCTAAGGATGTGGCTGCCGCCTTTCCACCTGGCTCTAAGTATAGTGCAGGTGTGGGTGTGCTGGTGAGGTGAGGTGAGTTTCTGCAGGTGTTGGGAACCATCCAGGCTTCCATCCAACCCCAAATTCCTGCTTCTTCTCTCCTGAGATTTGGTGCTGAATGCTGACAGCCCTCCGTGAAACAGCTGGGCTCGCTGGCACGGAATCTGAACAGGAACCTGACCAAAAATACTGTCAAACCAAAGACTGTTCAACATGAACTTCACATTTATTACAGCAAACAACTTAGTCTAAAACCTGGTTTTACCCCAGCACCGATTTGTTAAATCAAATTGAGAAAGAGCCTTGTTTGCATGGCTCAGGCTCTGCAACCGCAGTGGGTTCACAGTGCTCCCGTTATGTTTATGTAATGGTTGTTTTCCTCCTGTGTCTTGACGTGCTTGGTATATGGCTATACTTCTACATGCTGGCCTTTTTTCACTGATATCCTCATCCCCTTTATGTGATCTGAGGAGCTGCAATTTATTATAGACGCTGCAGAGCCTTTGATCACTAATAAATACTAAGGCAATATTAGGTTTCAGAGGAACAGCCGTGTTAGTCTGTATTCGCAAAAAGAAAAGGAGTACTTGTGGCACCTTAGAGACTAACCAATTTATTTGAGCATGAGCTTTCGTGAGCTACAGCTCACTCACGAAAGCTCATGCTCAAATAAATTGGTTAGTCTCTAAGGTGCCACAAGTACTCCTTTTCTTCTTAAGGCAATATTAGTAACACACAATCAATGATATCTTGCACCTTTCATATGTTGACCCTCAAGAGCTTGAGAGAGGGAGGTGAGTATTATTATCACCATTTTACAGAGGGGAAACTGAGGCAGAGAGCAGTTAACATGTGATTTTGCCCCAAGTCACAAAACTAATCTGGAGCAGAGTCAGAAATGAAACCCATATCACCTAACTAACTTACCCTGCTCTAACCACTAGACCACACCCTCTGCTCTCAGCCACAACAGCAGTCTATGCTATAATAGCAATAGGTTCTGCCTAGACTCCTTAAGGACACCACGAGCAGAGAGTGGCGATATAGATCTTTACATTCATCTATTTCTCAGCTGTTTCAGCAGATGAAATTGAACTGCAGTTACTTCTAAAATGTATCGATCATCCAGTTTGCAAAAAATGGCACCATCAAGCCATACATTAACCAACAGCTTTCCTAGTCCCTAGCAGCTGTATCTGAGCTGTGAGATCATCTCAGATCCCGAGCTATCAGCTGCAGACTGCTGCCCACAGGTGGCAATGTGCTGTTCTTGTAACCCCAGCCTGCATTCAGGCTCTTCTGTGTTATGTGAGTGCAGGAGGAGGGGGGTGCCCCGGGTCTTGCTGATTAGGCTCAAAAGGAAAAGCAACAAAGGATCATTTTAGACTCTCTAAAACACCCAGAATACTTTGTCAAGGAACCCAGCCAGACGATCATTTCCAGGCTCATCACATGCCAACTCCAGCTACCACTGAGCTCCATGGCAAAACTCCCCTGGACTGTAAATGGAGCAGGGGCAGGCACTGAGAGATTTTATTCAAAGCACTAAACTGGTGCATCACATAGAGGAACTGATTCAGGCTGGAGGAGGGTTGGGCTTTTCTGTCCTGTCTGCATATCTTGAACTGGACCACAGGGGGAAGCCTCTCATAGGCTGAGTAGCACCGTTCTCCTCCCCTCAACCAAAACTAAACGTGGCATCCTAGGGGACTTACGTAACCTTGGCCTAGGGCGTCTGCCACACGGACTACGTCATAGCTTCCAAATGACTCCCCTCTGGTAAGGCTGTCCAGCTGTCCCGCCCCCAGATGTTCCTTCTCATCCTCCAGGAGAACATCCAGAGAGAGGAGAGGCAGAGGGGGGCAAGATATTTGGGTTCTGTCTCCTCAGAGTCACTTGCTTCTGAAGAGAACTCAGTGCAAAATTAGTTTGTCCGAAAACAGTAAAACAAGATAAAATAAATGCAGAGTAGAATGTACCCCGTATTTCAGGATATAATTGGGTGAGGGGGGAAAGCTTTTTGATTATTTTAAAAGCAACAAACCAACGAAACTAAAACATAACGTAGAATTAAAAAAGTGAGCAGCTTCAGAGCAGGCTTTTGCTGGCCCAGTGCCTACAGATGTCCGAGGCCTCCAGTCTGAGGGTCTCTTATACAGAACAGATGATAAAGA